CTCCGACACCGACAGGAGAGAAGTGGTAGAGCAGCGCGGCCATATTATGAAACCAACACGCAGTAGAGACTCAGCATAGTGAACAATTCCATGACTATTATGACTATTATAACATCTACCTGCCAGTGTGGTGGATAACCTTCTGAGATTGACTTGCACTTGGCGCTAGCTGGGTGTTGATTTCAATCATTGATGCATTAATGTAGTCATCATTTCAATGTTGCAGCTGGTAATGGTGGAGCTTTGTTAAATTACTTTATATTTTACTGAATATATCATTATGAAAATAATGTGGGTTGCACAGGGTAGTGGCCACAGTAAAATCAGACTATCAGCGTTGACATAGGTTACTTAGTGGCTTTGCAATCTTTGTAGTAAGCTCCTGCCATCAGGGGCAAAATTTTGCGGAAAAAATTTGCTTTACGGCAGGAAACGCATCATGTTTTGCGAAACTGGTCGACCAGCCAATCAGGGACTGGAGGGTCCTTATGAGGAGTTGGGCATGAAATAGTTGAGTCACGAGCACAATGGCAGACGGACGAAGTTTGGAGACAAGTGAATAACGGCCTAGCGAAAGAAAACGAGCTCCTCTGTCTGAGGAGGCAAAGAAGAGCAAAAAGAGTGATAAAAGAAGAGGAAAAACAGGAGTAAACCTCAGTCAGGCGTTCAAGAGATGGAGGGAGCTCCGTGACCAAAGAGGATTCAAAACCGATGTCCAGCTAGCTTTCTTTTAATTGATCAGTACGTAACACGGCTAAATGTTAGCTAGACAAGAGAGGACTGTACTGTACTGGCTGCTAGTTAATTCCTAGCTGGCCAGCATCGCAAATCGCCGCAACCAGGGACCGGGTAGTAAGTGTTGTTCAGCTGACATCCTGGTGCCATTTTACGGCAGCCCTTGGACAGTGATACCCCCCTCCCTTCCTTCTGTTCTCTTCTCACGGAGGCAGCTATCGACGGACATCGCCCAGCTAAGTTACGCCCAGCTAAGTGAACACTGGACTTTTCACTGCAACAGCCTTAGACTGAGGAGCATCAAAATCAGTTAACGTTAGTCCACACAGCTCTCCCAAGCTGGCCTGGAGAGCAGGGGGGATCATGTCGGTCACTGGCCATAAATGTGAGGGCAGCCTTCGCAGCTACTGGGCACCCAGCATCTCCGACTGGGAGAAGTGGAGTAAAATCCTCTCCTCCGCTCCCGTTTGTCTGGTGAACGCCTCTCCTCTGTCAATACACTCCGCCAGCAATTTAATAATATTGATGCCAGTTGTAACATTTGAATGTTTTAGTAGTAAGCCATGTTCTAAGCGCGACAATGTATAGTGAGCCGGTGACTGTTGAAAAATAACTCCGCTGCGCGTTGGGGTTCCCTTCCCCCGTCGGAGTTATTTTTCAACCGTTACCGGCTCACTATACATTATCCCTTACGTGTCTACTGTTGTTTGAACTGATACTGTACATATTGGTATAATTTACTGTGAGTTGTTTGTACTGGTATTGTGCATTCTGGTATAATTATTTGCATTGCTATTTGTTTGTTCTTCAGATAAATCTGATAATTGTTGCTTGGTCTCTTTACTCATTTATTTATTATATTGTCCACACACCTTCTCATTCTACATATACACAAAGGTATATTGGTGGCTTTACAGCCTACATTTTATTGATTATCTCTGATCCCCACGGTCAATTTGGTCGTTGTGACAGTGCAAGCAACACCACTGACGCTAGGTGGCGCCAAGCTAAAAAACCCTGAATCCTATCTGTTGCCTTTTCGAACCTGTAATAATACATCATAATTTATTTGCTGATTCATACATTGTATGAATCATCATCAGTGTTGGGCAGTAACGTGTTATAAGTAACGCGTTATTAGTAACCCGTTACAGCAACGCCGTTAGTTTTGGCAGTAACTAATACTCTGACGCGTTATCAGTTACTGTTACCAAACGGTGCGTTACTCCGTCATTTTTGGCCAGGTTTTAAAACGGCGCGCAGCATGCAGTATTCCTTCACAAACTGAAGTTCCCTCTCACTAAAACACTTTAGCCCTAAACAATAAAAGATAGTCAAGTCAGATAGAGGTATATGAACAATTCTTACCAGAGCATCTTAATGAAACACGTCTCTCACCATCTCTGAAGTCACTGTCGACCTGCTGGCCTCACCACAGTGCTGTAACGTTACATTAAGCGGTAGCGCTTCTGTAGATTTTTAGTCCCAGTAACAGTTAGTTATAGTTATATCCAGTGACGTGATATCCATTGTTATCCCGAGGAAGCTTTTGTTGTGGACAGACAATGTCTGCAGTGGGCAACAGACTCGACACCATCATGTAGCTCTTCAAATGTTCTCTTTAGCTCATTTTCCATATTTGTATCCAAGTACCGTAAAACGTTTAGCTGGCTGACAGCGAGTGACTACACTGTATAAGACGGTTGCATGTTTCCTATACTGTTCAATTGTTTTGTCAAGTTGTAGTCTAACAGTCCCTTGGATAAACACCATCCCCTGCCGCTTAGGCGATGTAGCTACGAGCCAATACAGTTAGGAAATGTTTTGGGCTGCAGGGCTGAGTTTCCCAAAACATGATCCTTCTTAGCAATATTGTCTTCTTTGTGGCTTAGAAAAACTACACTGCAAAAAAGAAAAGCACCTAGCGCCCTCTAGCATCCCCACTCAGTCATCTACAGCAAGGATGTACTCAGTAACGCATTACTTTCTGGTTTAAGTAACTGAGTTACTAACTGAGTTACTTTTTAATGAAGTAACTAGTAACGGTAACTAGTTACTATTTTTCAGTAACAAGCACAACACTGATCATCATTCATCATCACCATTCATTCATTGTATGATGATGATAAATTGCCCCATTGAGATGTAGTGGAGTAGAAGTATAAAGTAGTAGAAAAAAATACTTACTAAAGTACAAGTACATTAAAGTACAGTGCTTGAGTAAATGTACTTAGTAACATTCAACCATCATTAAGGTTGTGTATTGTAACTCCAATGCTTTTTTTTATGAATAGGCAAATTTATATTTGATATTTTGGACTCATGTTAATTTGTATTTTTAGACTAATTTAAATTTTTGAAAAGGAAAATCTCAAAAAATAATTTGGTCACAAGCTGTTCACTTAATAAACCTACTACACTAAACTGACTAACTAGAAGCAACAAATCAAAGCATACAAGTGGGTCTCTGCGTGTGTGCGTGTGTGTGTGTGTGTGTGTGTGCGAAGGGAGAGAGAAAGAGAGGGAGAAAATGGTGGGCGCGACCTCCTGGGGTACACGTCACGTCACGCCAGGTACTGATAAGAGTAAGGCAGGAAATTTGAGAGAAGAAGTACTGAGGTGGGATATAAGAGCAAGACAATGGGTCATAAAACAGCTGGCCACGTACACCTTTACAGTATGCACAAGATGGCGTCCAGCGGGATCAAACACACTGTATGCTCTAACAAAATAGCTGTGCCAACACGTGTAGGTGTGTAGACTGTGGTAATGGCAAACTGCTCATAAGGAGTTGCTCACAGGACAATGTGTGATTTTACCACAGGTATAAGGTGTGTGTGTGTGTGTGCAAGTGTGCGTGTAGGTTAGTTAAAAGAGAGAGAGAGAGAGAGAGAGAGAGGAAAGGCGAGCAGGTGCTCGTAATGTGCGAGGTAAAAGCGGCCATGGGGGAACACCAATGGTCACTTTCCTATCCCTCAGACACCAGTAGACTAACTGGGTCAGCCTACCGTCCACTGGTCCTTGTTACAGGTAGGAATGCAGCGTATTGTGAGTGCGCGGCCAGCACAACTAACGGCGCGTTATCCACCGAAATGCACAATCAATTTGCTCTGGCAAGCACAACAACAAACAGCAATCAATGAACAGATTATCAAAGAAAGGGACATGGCGGTCCTCAAAGTTCACAAATCACAGTTAAAATTCACACTTAAATCAAAATAATATATAAATATAAAGTCTCTGCCCAGACTGTAGCTGTCTTACTTGAGTTGCACGGTGTGACGACGTGTGTCCCGTCTGTTGCTCCGGGACTAGGACGCTACAGCGGCCCCGCGCCCTACGGCGGGATGAAAGATGCTGTCCTTGGTGTGGCAGAAGAGGGATCAGTTGAGTCGACTCAGTTGAAGAAGCGGGGCCTTGGTGGCTCCGTCTTCCTCGGGAGAAAAGGGGGTTTCTCCAAACTCTGCAGATGCTGAGGAATGGTGGGGTTGTGCGGTGTTCCTCTGGTTCCCCGTGGAGTGTTAAAAAACAAAAAGAAAAAGTGTCTTTCCTCGTCCAGTGAGTCAAGAAACAAAAGAGTGGCCTAGGTCGGTTGAATTCAAATGTTTGAAGTGCTCCCTAGCAGTAACTTGCGCACAGAAAGCTTTGGCTTCCTTCCAGCAACTCGTCACTCGGGGATTGCGAGGGGCGTAAGCGCGCAACGGTAATTAAAGTCTCAGTGTTCCGTCTGACTCCACCTGAACCTGGCTGCTGTCGCCCAATAGGGAGCAGGAGTTTGAATTTCAAAAGTGATTTACACTTTTATATTTACCGGACCGATGGAAGCTTGGCGCGTTCCTTTGTTCTTAGACTGGCTGGTTAGCCCTCTCTATTGTTTAAAACGTGTGGCTGAGGTCCCAACACAAGCAACAGATGCATGTAAAAACAAGTTTTAGAGATTGCAACTTATGTTCAATCCATGTGAATAGTTCCATTTCTTTTTCTTCCTTGATCACAACTTCATGTACAGTACACCATGACTGATGAGGCAGCCATTTTTTGAGGACTGTAAGAAAACAATTAGGTCTTTATCACCAGTCGGATCCCACTTTACTGTATTTTCCATGAATAAATGTACTTAGTGGCCCGTGTCAGCTTCTAAATATGAAAGAGATGTTAAAACTTTCCAGTTACAAGAGTACTTATTGTAATCACAATAAAGGAAATCGGACTGTAATAAAATGCAAACCAGAAAGAGCTTGAAAGATTGCTGGAGACAAAAGATCTTTGTGTCTGGAGCTTTTATTTTGTGAGCTTGTCTTACATTCGGGTTGGCCTGGTGCCAGACCAGACATCATCTAAAGAGGGAGCAAAATCTATTCTTTCAGACAGACTGTGCTTATAAAACCAGCTTACGTCAACTTATACATAACATAAATCCTACATCCATTTCCATGATTCTGTATCATTGCAATCAACAACACAATACAACTATGTTTTCTTTATTTCTCTGTCACCAAAATTTATGGCAACTGTCGAGGGAAATTTATTTTGTACTTTGAAAGTGAAACATCAATCTACAGAACACTCAAAAGGTGACATCAGTTGAAGCATGCAACACAATCTAGAAACGGTAACATTCTTTAAATGCCCCTAACATTAACATGAGGTCTTGGTTGTGTCTGGGCATGACAGTAGTGTTTGAAAGAGAGGATCATTTTCTTATTGTCTTGAGGCATTTCAAAAAGTCCATCTGCATTGTGTTTCATACAGTATATTGCGGAGTCAAGTTGTGGAGTTAGAAAGTTTGAAGCGGACAATCCTGAAACAGGAAGTGTCAATCCCTGAGAAAAGGCAACTGTCTTTCACAAATGGGCGAGGCTACTCTTCCACTTTCCTTTTCAACTTTCTGTTCTTTGATTTCTTTTTCCACCTTCTTTTTCCAAGATGGTTGGTGAACAAGTTATTGTAACTCTCATCCTCCTCTTGCTCCTCCCTATCTTCTTTGTACCAAGGTCCCCACACGCCCCCATTGTACTGAGGGTTAGAGCGCAGATCTTTAGCCGGGTAGCGTACTGGCACTGCAGTCCTGTTGTGCTGCGCTAGCCGTATTAGCATCTTCTTCACTATGTGAGGGTAGCGCTGGGACAAGTCCACTCTCTCATAAGGGTCGGCTGTGATGTTGAATAGCCAGATGGATTTACCACGGTCCCAACGGACACGCTCATTATGCCAGCGATTGGTTAACCGCTGGTTGGAAAAGGTTTGCGGGGGCACCCAGTCGCTGTACCCGGGGACACCCGTCAGGAGCTTCCAGTGGCCCACCCGGAGTGCAGCCCGGATGGCAGTGTTCCATAAGCCATACCCGGCCTTCCATGAGCCATTCTTGGCTTTGATGTAGATTGGGTCAATGTTGTGAAGAATGTCCTGACGAGGAGATGGGCGGCCTTCACTGATAGCCTCCCAGACATCATAACCATCCAGATTCAGATCTTCGTCTAAAGTCCCTTCACCCAGGGTCACCAATGTAGGGAACCAGTCAGTGATGTGGACCAAACTTCGACATTTTGTCCCTTTATTAACCAACAGGGGACTGTGAACAAAGCCGACCGCCCGAATCCCCCCTTCCCAGTAGGTGGCTTTACTCCCCCTCAAGGGCCAGTTGCTTCCACCTGCTAGCGGTTGGCCTCCGTTATCTGAGGAGTACACTATAACTGTGTTGTCATAATAACCGTAGCGTTTTAGCGCTAACGTGAGGTTGTGGATAGCTTCATCTAGGCAGGACACCATGGCAGCATATTTACGACGATGCAAGTTTGGAATGCCCTTGTAGCGTTCAAGGTATCGGGCAGGAACTTGCAGTGGGGAATGAACGGCCTGATAGGCTAAGTAGAGAAACAAGGGTTGTCTGTGAGGGCTGTGATTGGCTAAGATGCTGATAGCCTTTCGAGTAAACATCACAGTCGAGTACAAGCCACGGTCCTGTTCCCAAGCTGCCTCTTCCCCTTCATACAAATCATAACCACACATACCGGGCCCTTCACATTTATAGTGACTGTAGTAGTCCCCACTTCCTAGCAGGGAGCCAAAAAAAGTGTCAAAGCCACGCTGGGTGGGCAGGCAGCCGCGCTTGTAGAAGCCAAGGTGCCACTTGCCCACCATATGGGTGGAGTAGCCTGCTTGTTTGAGCTTTTGGGGCAGAGTGACATTTTCCAGCGGCAGGCAGTTGGGCTGGGTGGCTCGGATGATGGAGTGTTGAAGGCCTGTGTGGATCTGATACCTACAAAATAAAAACAAATATTAGCCCATCAGAGACATAAACAGTTGTAAAGGGTTTAAGCAACTTTGATTAAAGGTGGTCATCTGGTAAAGCTGGTAGAAAAGCCTGTAAAAAAATATTATGCTACTGAAAAAAATACTTTTGCTATGTCTCCCTGCCAGCGATAGCCATTGCTTGAAGCATTATGTTTTTGGGTTGTCTGTCCGTCCGTCCATCCATCCGTCCGTCCATCTCATTTTCGTTAATGCGATATCTCAACCTCAACACCTTTAGGAAATTTCTTTAAATTTGGCTAAAATATTTGGACTTAACAATGAACTGATTTGATTTTCTTCAAAGTTCAAACGGCAAGATCAGTGTGACCTTGCATCCATCTCATTTTTGTAAATGTGATATCTCAAGAATGCCTTGAGGGAACTTTCTTAATTTTTGCAAAACCATCCACTTGGACTCAACAATGAACCATTTAGATTTTGGTGGTCAAAGGCAACAGTCATGATCAATGTGACTTGGTGTCTGTCTCATTTTCAAGAATGCCTTGACGGAATTCCTTTAAATTTGGCACAAACATCCACTTGGTTGCAAGGATGAACTGATTTGAAGGACACTGTGACCTCACAAAAGATGTCTTGGCCATAATGACAAAGGTCAACTTTACTGTTGCATCATAATGTTCTGCAGAGTAGGGCTGAACGATATATCGTTATCTATATCGAGATATGAACATGCAAGATATTAATATCCCAAAAAGCAACGATATTGATGATATAATTTCCCCATGAGTTTCCCCAGCTCGACCTGCATGTACAGCTAAGGCCAGCCAATTACAAACCTCATGTCCTGCTTGCCTTGGATCGACAACGAAGCCAGCCAATTACAAACATCCCCTTGAGCGAAGGAGGCTGGCCCCTAACAGTGGCTAACAGCTAACAGCGGTGCTGGCCTGTGATTGCATTACCTTTCTCCTTCAGCAGCACTTTCCAGCTGGGAAAGGCTACTCCGATGTTGACCCTCTTTTTTTGAATTCATCGGTCACGTTGCCTTTTTGATTCCCTTTTGCGCTTTCTTGGCGACTAGGATTCCATCTCCCGTGATGCTGCATATGCATGATCCTGCATTATGCTCAAAGAGTGGGACTTTGTTATGCTGCTGTATTGCCGGGGTAGCAGCTAAGTGGCTTCTCAGTCACGCAGCACTGGCATGGCTCTCAACAAAAACGCCGAAGGCGGGGCTATTCCCTGGTAGTGCTATATGTTCCTTGTTGGCGGACGTATTCTCAAGATGGCGAAATGTTATGGAACCTCCCCAGAAGACTTACCCGCACAATGTACAAGCATTCCGAAATTCTCCTTTTACGAGAATAAGTCAGATTATTGGTGGAGGTAATAATACACCAATGATGACATATTTATGAATGCAGACATCATTTTTTGCCAATAAACAACTGAAAATGTTACACAATGTCCCTAATTCTAATCATACCCAGGTCTATGTGGATCAGGGCTGACTTGTCTCTGATTGGGTCTGTTTTTATCAAAAATAATTCATACTCAGGCTTTCACAGGTTAAATTAATTTTAGATCAGGTCAAAAATACTCTACCCCTGAAGATTTCTAATTAGCCTTGAAATCCCTTTTGTAAAGGATATCCAGCCCTAGTAGAGTAGATTTCTTGCCACACCTTTGAATGAAATCAAGGAAAACTAAAGCTGTGGGATTAGTAGTCTAACTTAAAAGAAGCCAAGCCAACTTTGTCATCACTGAGACTGTAACTGTGTGTGATAGAGTATGTGACTGACTGTGTTCTTGGCCCACAGTTAGGCAACCCTGCTGCCTTTGGAAGCAGCTCTCAGAAGACAAGGACAATATGCTTAGACTTTATTTCTCTCTGACTCCTCACGTCTGCTTTGAGCGAGAGTAAGACACCTAGCACACAAGGAACTGATAAAGCCACCTTCTTCACTCTTTTGACCCCTCCTTACTCCCCCCTGAGGTTAGGGATGTGCAGTCAAGCTGTCAGCAGGAGAAGGGAGTGAAAATAAGTGTCTAGTTTTGGTTTCCAGAGAGGAAGATTTTACCTGGAGGAGAACCAGATGGTGGGCAGTCCGCGCAAACCTCTGTTGCCACTTGAAAATGCAAAAATCCCTCGAGGGTTACATCACTGTGTGGTATGTGCAATGTTCCAAACTAGCAATAAACTCTACTACTACTTACAACTGAAATCCTACTCAAAAACACACAAAAAAAAACCCTAATACAGTTTACAATAAACATATCTGCATAAAAGTACAGAGTGCAACTGCAAACACATACACATTAGGGATGTAACGATTACCGATATTACGGTAGATCTCGGTTAATTTTTACACGGTAAGAATTACTGTTTATGTTTAAATTAATTGCATTATTGCGGTGGATTATCAGGATATGTAATAACAGCCTCATTCAAGTCTCGCGATGCAGGCGCTACACGAATGCGTAGCATGTGTAAACACAAAGAATGAAAACATGGCGGAAGGTGGTGATAGCGGCACTCAGGACATTTTCCCCCTCAACTAAACGCACAAAGTCTGAGGTCTGGGCGTACTTTGGGTTTCTGAAGAATGCCGAGGGACAGCTGGTGGAGGACAACTATCCTGTGTGCAGAACATGCAGAAAGAAAGTTGCTGCGAAGGCTAGCAACACTACAAATTTGCTGGCTCATCTCCGTGACCATCATCCACAGCTTTACAGCCAATACAAGTTATGCCATGCAAACGTCAGTTATTGTGTGAGGAACTTAGGTTTTACTAAGATTGTCATAGTGTGTAACTCTCGACGTATACGGGACATTTGAGCCGTATCTGTCCTCCTAAATGGCGACTAGGTTTTACGTTTTCGTTTAAGACACTTAGGAGCTAATACTAGCTGAACAGCTAATAGCCGTATTAGCAGCTATGTTGCTAAGTGTTTCAAAACGAAACGGAGCTGAAAACACTGAGCGGAGCCGACAGAATATAAACTGACGTAACGTAACGCTAATTGAGATCAACCATGATTGAATTACTATGATTATGGTTATTGTACGGTGAGCTAGAATCGATATAGATGGCCAGTTATGCTTTCTTGACATAAGCTCAAGGAAAAAACATAAAACGCTGCCGTGTTAACCTTTGACCGAGAGCCTTAATGGGGGCTCTCGGTTTTATTTTAAAGATTTTTTTCTGGGCATTTTTAGCCTTTATTTGACAGGACAGACAAGCATGAAAGGGGGAGAGAGAGAGAGAGAGAGAGAGGGAGTGACATGCAGCAAAGGGCCACAGGCTGGAGGCGAACCCGGGCCGCTGCGGCAACAGCCTTGTACATGGGGTGCCTGCTCTACCACTAAGCCACCGATGCCCCGGGCTCTTGGTTTTATAAGGTTAATTAAATTCACTGCTCACAGTCTTGACCTAACACACGCACACACACGAGAATATGCACTCCTTTTCTCATACAGGCACTCACATGCACACTTCTAATGTCTGAATTATTCTGTGTAATGATGACCATTGCCCTTAGGGTTTTTTTGGTTTCTCCTGCACATTTGTGATATCTATTCTATATATTGTATGTTTTTTGTTCTACTCTTGCATTGTTTTGTTTTATATATGTTTTTCCTCTCGTGCTAATAAATAAATAATATATAAATTGTTTACATATTTTGCTGACTGTTAAAATGCACCAGACAAATAAGCTTTGCTCCTGTAATGTGTTTACATATTTTGTTAATTTAAAATAAAATTTTCTGTTGCTGTGCCAATCCCTTGCCCCTTTAATGTGAAAGTTTCATTTTAATATAAGATTTTGGCTGTTAACATTTTAGTATGATAAGGAAGTTACAAGATTGAGTGAAGTTATTTCAATATATCCATTTTTTGGACATTTTACAGCGCTTAAAAAAATATCACGATATTATCGTTTACCGTGATAATTTGGTCACTATAATCGAGATATCAAATTTTCCTTATCGTTACATCCCTAATACACACCACCCTGCATGAAGCACTGCTGGCTGAGCCAACAGCGTTATTTCAGCTAGCTTAGAGATGCTTCTGTTTCATGAGTTTATCTAACCCATGATGAGGCATGATGAGATCTGATAAAATAATGCTCACGTCAACTTAAGTCGTCAGCAATAGAAATGAAGTTATTCACACATTTTTCACTGTGATTAGAATTCACGGTAACACTGGCTTCAGTATTGCCATCTTAACAATGAAATCTGCATTTTTTCAGTGACCTTCTGGAACACTGAATTAACTGGTTTCTCTCCTGAGCAGTGTGCTGTGTATGTAACAGGTACTTTCACATGGGAGGACGGGGTTCGAATCCTGGCCTGGGCGAACATCATCCAGTAAGGGTCCTTCGGTAAGACTCCTTTAATGCTATACCTGCCTACCTCAGGCATGAGCAATTATAATCCTGATAGAATCATACTGGCTCGGATGTCGCTTGGGTCAACAAGGTTTGCGTAGTTGCTAGGGAACCAGGGCAATCTGATGAGAAATGGTCTACTGGAATGAGACATACATTGACAAGGGCGGAGAACACGGAACTGATGGAATGCTACTATATAAGTAATCCCAGAGAGAGGGGATATATGTAGAGAATGTGGGACCTATGGATACTGCAAAACCCACAATCAAGACTAACTAAGACACATCAGTGTTCCAACATCCGCAACCGCCAACTACTATCACAACTAGAGATCAATGAAATACTTCAACAATACTACAGCAAGACGGAGCCAGGACGACAGGTCAGCGGGGGATGTCATCATCATCACCCCCACAATCCGAGATTGGGTACCAAGCCCCGGTAGATACAAACTGCCTCAATGTAAGAGCAGCTGACCTGAGAAGGAAGATTGTGAGCAAACTGGAAACCTGGAGCCTCCCAATGAATCCCAAAGCTGAGTTGCCAAGTACCTTCAGATGATCTGCTAGAAGATGCTAATGCTGCCCTAAATACCATCACTAC